AAAAAAAACAACTTATGAACATAAATATATACATTTAGGATTTGTTTGTAAATAAAATTCCTGGTTAGCATCTAATGATCTTTTTTCGAAATAAAGACAATAATCATAGCATGGTCCTCTAAAATTAGGTGAATCTGCTGGAATTGGTACTTTTGTGCTGCACTGCCTATAACTCCACACTGATTATTTTTTGCTCGAAATCTCTGAAAATCGATTCCACCATCATCGCGAAAATTAAATTGATCGATTTTTAAATTATAATGTTCACCACCCCGACAGGCTAAAAGAAATGCATTATGAAAGAATACTCTTTTAATAAGAGTATCAGGTGTTAATATCGATGTTGCTGAATGTGATAAAATATCAGAGATATTTTGTTGAGTTAAAGCTGCAGATTCTTTTATTTCGCCAAGCCCTTTATCTTGTAATTCTTTCATTTTTCCATCAAGGACTTTTAATAAATTTGGAAATTGATGACGATCACGTAAATTAATACCACGAATAATCGAATATTTCATTAAATAGCGATTGATACCATCAACAGATTGACGTACAGATAAAGCTTTATATTCAGTGCCATCTTTTTTTTTCATAGTAGCAACATAGGCAGCTACTTGATTATCTAGTATAGATAACTCAGAAGTAGATTTTAATTCAGTTTTATAGTTTTCGTCATGTGGATAAACTTCTATTATACTTTTTCGAAACTTTTCAAAATGCTCTAGCCAGTTTTTTGTCGCCTTTTCCATATTGTTGACACGTGACTTATCTTGATAAAATGAAATTGCTTTCTCAATTTCAATACTTTTAGATGTTTTAGACTATAAACTTGGATTATTTAGAAGTTCACTGGCGGTATTGAATTGTACGGTTTTATTTGGATCCATTGTAGTTTTTAAAAAGAAGCAAAAGTATACTAATCTTTTTTTTTATTTATTTATTTATATTTTTTCATTAATGTAAAAGTCTAATTTTTACTAATAGTGACATATCTGTAACACATGATTTTATCTAATCACGGGCGTTAGTAACCGGGAAATATATCAGTTATTTACTGCTCAAATCGCCGATAACTCTCAGGGCCCCACGGCTCTGCCGTGGGGGCCCTGATGATATCTCTGATTTCGCAGTAAATAACTATTACATATTGATACAGAGTATTTTTATATATCAATATAAAAAATACTGAAAATTGGACATAAGGAGTTCAGGAGGTCAGTTTCCTTTTATGGGTTTGTTTTTTTTTTTTTTTTCCCATAATTTACGGATACCCGCGTATTGTTTATATAAACCCTCTCTCTCCATTTAATTTTTTTTTCCTTAGAACATGACTATGTTTGATGGTAATAAATTGACCCTTTTTGTACTAGTTATCCGTTGTGTTTTGATTGATAACTGATTATTCACTAGGACATTTACTATGAAAAATCAGGCATCAATCACTAGAACTCGACTGATAACTAAGTTATCCGACATGTCGACGTAAACATCGAACGATTTTTGTGTAAGTTATTCGTCCACCCCCTAATACAAATACACATATTTTCATCACCTCTGTAAGAGGTGATGAAAATTTGTGTATTTGTATTAGGGGGTGGCCGAATAACTTACACAAAAATCGTTCGGTGTTCACATAAGACATGTCGGATAAGGACTAGTTATTGATGGGGTGGACTATAAGCTCGTCTGGTTATTTATCTCTTGAATGCAGACCGGTAACGTCTTGACGTGCACTGTTAGGCCTCACCTGAGCTCTGGATAATGTCGAGGCGATTAGACTGTCTTGTTAAAGAATGTACTCTACCCATCTTTAACGAAACATTAGTGGGTTTAAATTTTACCGGAGCAGATAAGGAATGTTCTCATTCCCTTTTTACGTTTTTCTTTGCCAAGGAAAAACGGTTTTTGAGCTTAATATAATGACGGAGTTGTACTTTTAATTTCTTTTAAAGTCTATTCTCGAGTATTAAGTGTGCAAAGTCGTTGTCTGTCGGTGATTCACACTGGGTTCGATTCCCAGCAATGACCGTCCATTATTTTAATTTTTTTTTTTTAAAAAAAAATGTTATTTCTTTTTATTTCGGTTTTTTTTCTATGATCGGATTATAAGACATATACTTTACATGTAATCTCCACAGATAACTTTATTATTACACATTAACATTATTAAATTTTCGGTTTAATTCTTGCCCAACATGTTTGATGAGCTTAGTTTATACGAAAATATGGAAAAGACAGTTCATGCCAACCAATAAATCTTTGATAGAAAATATAAAAAGGCGCCAAATACAATAAAAATATATAATATATAACCATTTAGGAGTACCGATTTCCAAACATTCAGCCAGTTTAATAGCTACTTCTTGCCAAAATTTAATTTGTTGTTCTTTTGGTGCATTCTTAGTAAAATTACTAATATTTTTATAATTAAGATTTTGATTAGGAAAATTAAAGTAGCATCTTTTCCTAAATTTATAAAACTACAAACTTCTTTATTATTACTTAGTAATTTTTTCTTTAAAGCTTGAGTAATCTTGTTTATTATAATTTAATGCCGTAGATTTAGTTACTACAAATTCGAATGGTTTATTTTTCATTGCTTTATGTACAGGGGGACATTCCCAAAAATATGCGGATAGTTTATTTGTTGCTTCATTTAAAGCTTTTTCGAATGTGTCTAAAAAATTTTCTTTTCCTAAGCTTAAAACTTTAATGAATTCAGCGTAGCTAAGTTTATTGCTATTTGCACTTAAAAAGTATTTAATTGTATTATTATCAATAGGAATATCTTCATATGTATAAGTTGTCAAATTAGCCATGGATTTTAAAAAAAA